TGATGAGGAGGAGGAGGAGAGGATGAGCAGGAGGAGAGGAGGAGGAGGCGAGGGGCAGCGAGGAGGAGGAGGAGGAGGAGGAGGAGGAGGAGGAGGAGGAGGGAAGAGGAGGAGGGGAGGAGGAGGAGGAGGAGGAGGTATGAGGAGGAGGAGAGGAGGCTGGAGGGCATCGGAAATAAAAAAAAAAAAAAAAAAAAAAACAAAATGTGGCCCGGAGTGGAGTTCTGGGAAGCCGAAGAACACGAAGTGGCCTACAGTTGGTTCCGGGCATCCAAAATGTGGCCCGGGAATGGAGTTCTGGGAAATAGAAGAGCACGAAGTGGCCTACAGTTGGCTCCGGGCATCCAAAATGTGGCCCGGGAATGGAGTTCTGGGAAATAGAAGAGCACGAAGTGGCCTACAGTGGGCTCCGGGCATCCAAAATGTGGCCCGGGAATGGAGTTCTGGGAAATCGAAGAGCACGAAGTGGGCACGAAGTGTGTGACTGTATGCGAAAAACGATCCCCGCCGGCAAACCCCAACAGCCCCCCAACTGCCACCCAACTGCCCCCAACGGCTGCCCAGACCCCCCTGTGGAGTAATGTTGAAGTAATGTTGAAGTAATGTGCTGCTCTCTTTTTACCCTATTAGAAACCTATCAGTCTTCGATGTTAAGTAAATTATCCCGGCAAAGCAACCTAACGTGCATGTCCAAACGAGACACTGCTATCAACGCACGGAACTTGAATGGATGTATGTCCAAGCGAGACACTGCTATCATCGCACGGAGCTCGAATGGGTGTATGTCCAAACGAGACACTGCTATCAACGCACAAATCTTGAATGGATGTACCTCCAAATGAAACACTGCTATCAACGCACGGAGCTCGAATGGATGCATGTCCAAACGAGACACTGGTATCAACGCACGGATGCTTGAATGGGTGTACGTCCTCACGAGACACTGCTATCAACACACGGAACTTGAAGAGATGTATGGTCAAACAAGACACTGCCATCAACGCACACACTGCTATCAACGCACAGAGCTTGACACTACACAGTTGTATCACAGACTCGCAGGACAGTAGGACTCGCAGGACTACATTGTGTACAAAGTATTATGTGCAGGGACTCGTAAGACCTGTGTCTCTACTGGTGTGCTGGGCGAGTCCATGCAAAAGCATGCAAAAGCATGCGCTTTGGCAGACGTCTTGGAAGTCTGCAAAAGCGGCACGCTGAGCTGTGGTGGCAGGCTGCAAAAGCGGCAGCCTGCAAAAGCCTGCACTTTGGCAAACGTCTTGGAAGCCTGCAAAAGCGGCGGGCTGAGCTGTGGTTGCAGGCTGCAAAAGCGGCAGCCTGCAAAAGCATGCACTTTGGCAGACGTCTTGGAAGTCTGCAAAAGCGGCACGCTGAGCTGTGGTGGCAGGCTGCAAAAGCGGCAGCCTGCAAAAGCCTGCACTTTGGCAGACGTCTTGGAACTGAGGAGCGGCGTGCGAAGCGGAGAGCCTGCGAAACCTGGGGGCTGAAAACTCGCAGGCTGAGACTCGCAGAAACCCGCGGGCTGAAAAGAGTCCTACTACTCGCAGAAAAGCACCGCAGAAAGAGTCGAGCGAAAAGCACCGCAGGCTGAGAAGCACCGCGGGCACACGGGCTTGGAAACCTCACCTCTCCCGCTCGTCTTGCAGGAAGTCGCGCCAATCCGGCGGCTGCCAAGAGTCGATGATGCGCCGAGACCCACCGCCCGTGCTGCCGCCGATGTCCAGGTAATCCCCTCCCGCAGTACGGAGGCGGCCGTGTCCTAGCGCCACAATCGCCTGGTTCCGGTTGACTCGCAACTCGCCGCTGTCCCACTTCCGAAGCACGTCCAACTGCTTGCGCGTGAGAGTGGGGACCTCCTGGCCCTGGTCGGCAGGCTGAGTAGCACCGCCGCGTAAGAGCTCTTGCCGATAGCGGGCGAGCCGCTCACCCTCGTTGTAGCGCGAGATCGCGTCAGCCTTGTCGCGGTGGAGGCGGCGGCGCTCTTCCTTCATGACTTCGTCGCGCGCAGGTGGCTCACTGGGTTCGGCGTGCAGGGCTTGGGTGAGCATGTCAACGTCGAAGCGGCCGGAGAAAGCCAGCACCTCCCAGATCTGTTTTGTGCCGCGCACACGTTGCAGATGCCGGCACCACCGCTTACGCTTCTGCTCTCTGAGGAACTTAGCGAGACTCCCTTGGCCTGCCCCTTGGGGCTGGCCACCTTGTGGTGGAGTCTTGCCTTTCGCCTTCCCCTCCTCGCCTTTTCCCGCAGACTGAGAAGCTCCGCGAAACTTGTGGTGGAGTCTTGCCTTTCGCTTTCCCCTTTTCGCCTTTTCCCGCGGGCTGAGAAGTTCCGCTAGAACCTTGTGGTGGAGTCTTGCCTTTCGCTTTCCCCTTCTCGCCATCTCGTTCCTGTAGCGCCAGCTGGTGTTCGGACTGCTCGTACTCTGTGCGAACACGTCTTACGAGTTCCCCGCGCTCAGCGTCGGTGAGGACGCGCCGCAAGTCGGCGATGTTTTTGCTCCGCAGAAACTCATGGCGAACCTTAAGGACAGACACAATGGCTCGGACAGTCTCCGCCTGCGACGCGAAGGCGGTGTCACAGTCCGAGCCAGGCTGAGAAGCACCAGTTGGATCTTTGTCCGCAGGCTGCGTGGACGTCCTCTTCTTGAACAGCAAGAGGCTGAGGTGGTGGAGGAGTTTCGGGTCGTAGGCCGCGTCATACCTCTGGTCCCAATACTCCCTCAACTCCTTGCGCAGCTCATGCGCGCGCCGACTAACTTCATCCTCGGGCTCGTCGCAGGCTGCGGCGTCGGCCGGTGACGTCGGCGAAAGCGGTGCATGCACAGGAGCGGGGCTCGGGGACCGGGACCAGTGCACCGAGGAGCCCTCCACCTCGGTCTCTGAGCCGGCGTCGGCGTCAGGCAATCCTCCGAATGCAATCTTCCGCCTCTTTGTCTCCCCGGGCTGAGAAGCATCAGGGACGGTGAGCACGACCGCAACAGCATCGTGTGCGTCGTTTCGCATGCCACGGTCCATGTAGGAGGCGCCAACAGCGACGGGCTGGAAACGCGCGACTGCTCCGCAGACTGCCACGTTGTCGCCTTTGCGGTCCGCCGGGGGGGGCGAAGACTTCCCATAACGCCTCGTCGTCAGTGTGGCGTTGGAAAGCTTCACGCGCCTCCTGCGCGGTCAAGTTGTTGTCGCCGACTACGAGGCGCGCGACCGGCGTGCCCGGCTCCCCAGTTCTGAGAAGCACGGCGATCCCGTCCAAATGGAGTCGGAGAAACCGAACTGCTTTCTGTCGCGTGTGAATGCTGGGAAGGTTGCTTCCGCAAACGATGTGCATGTTTCCGACGACCACGTGAACTTTGTCATGGCCTCCTGTCTGCACATTGAACCGTGAGATCACTGCGTCCACTTGTCGCGCGATGGGGACGTGGTAGATGTATGTGTCCTCGCGCAGGGACACGCCAGCAGGCTGAGAAGCACCGCCGAAGCCCCATAGGCTCAAGTAGTTGGCGACCTCGCAGAAGCCGATGCTGTCGCCGAGCGGCTTGGTCAGGATGTCTTTCACGTTGATGGATGCTCGACTCAGGCCTTGACGAAACGCACCGACCTCGCACCCAAAGAAAGGGTCAGCATCGACTTCCTCGACTATCTTGGCGCAAATCCGCCCGAAGTTGGAGCAGTGAGTCTCGGAGTTCTTCCCCATCATCATGCTCTGCTCGAACCCGAAGTTAAAAGAGGCGACCGTAAAAGACCCAGGTTGAGGATCACAGCGAGCAGGCGCGGCCGCAGGCGTGTGTCGGTCTTCCTCCGCAGGCTGAGAAGCACCGCGAGAAGCCGAGGCTGCAGGCCGGTAAGGATAGGGCCAAGGGAGGGCCATCCTGGAAGGGCACGTCCTGAACCAAAGACGGCTGTCAAGACAATGACGATGACGATGCTGATGCTGATGATGATGATGGCGATGATGATGATTTTGATGATGATGATGATTATGATGATGCTGTTGCTGCTGGTGATAATGGTGGTGGTGGTGATGGTGGTTGAGGTGATGGTGGTGGTTGTGATGATGATGATGATAATGATACTGATGATGATGATGATGATGATGATGATGATGACGATGATGATGATGATGATGACGGTGATGATGGTGGTGGTGGTGATGATAATGATGATGATGGTGATGATGATGATGATGATAATGATGATGATGATGATGATGATGATGAGGAGGAGCAGGAGGAGTAGGATGATGATGATGATGATGATTATGATGATGCTGTTGCTGCTGGTGATGATGGTGGTGGTGGTGATGGTGGTTGAGGTGATGGTGGTGGTTGTGATGATGATCAGTTGGCTCCGGGCATCCAAAATGTGGCCCGGGAATGGAGTTCTGGGAAATAGAAGAGCACGAAGTGGCCTACAGTTGGCTCCGGGCATTCAAAATGTGGCCCGGGAATGGAGTTCTGGGAACTCGAAGAGCACGAAGTGCCCTACAGTTGGCTCCGGGCTCCAAAATGTGGCCCGGGAATGGAGTTCTGGGAAGTCGTGCGAGAGCCGAAATGGCCCTACAGTTGCTCCCGGCTTCCAATGTGGCCCGGGAATGGAGTTTCTGGGAAATCGAAGAGCACGAAGTGGGCACGAAGTGTGTGACTGCATGCGAAAAACGATCCCCGCCGGCAAACCCCAACAGCCCCCCAACTGCCCCCCAACTGCCCCCAACGGCTGCCCAGACCCCCCTGTGGAGTAATGTTGAAGTAATGTTGAAGTAATGTGCTGCTCTCTTTTGAGACTACTAGAAACCTATCAGTCTTCGATGTTAGGTAAAAAATTCGACGAAGAATAAAAAGTACTCAAAAAATACTCCAAAATAGTCAAAAAAATAATCAAAAAAATAGTCAGGGGACTATTTTTCGACTATTTTACAGCATTTGGGGACTATTTCTCGAGTATTCTTAATTTTTTCGTCCACAGTCCCCCTGCAGGGGGACAGG